GGAATTCTGAATCAATAGCATGCTTTATGAGTTTCAGTGTGTTCTGCAGAGAACTGTAATATTGATTATGCCCAAAGCAGGCTGTAAAGAGTTAAACTAACAATAGGCTTCTTTATAGAAGTGAGTCTGGCTGAAGTCTAATGCCAAAGTCAGAGTAACTTGCACCCAAATTCCGTTCCCACAACCAAAACATTCAGACTAGAAGGACAGTTTTCTAATTACAATCATATATTTTGTCTATGCTGTTCCTAATTTGAGAATGCTTTGTTTTGTCCTTTATGATCCTTGTTTACATTAATTTCCATTGATACTACATGTTGCCTTTACCCCAACTGATTGTCAATAAAAGTCAGTGCCCGGGACTGTGCAGTGCCTTTGTCAGATACACTGGCATTTGTCATCCTGGAACCCCACTTTTTCTCTTCTAGTTAAGTCTCCTAGTGTATTCTTTTGCTCAGGCATACATTGCACACTGGCCTCATGAGTCCTGAAACCTGACTACAGGAGTCTCTAGCAGTGTTCAAAAGTAATTTACACAATTAAGACTCTTTGGAGTAAAAAGAAAGGCATAGAAATAAATGTCAAACACATGGAAGCAAACTAAAAACAAAATGTTAATTACTTGAGAAATGAAAAACTATCCCCTCCAAAAACAGCAAAATAAACTTGTACTTGGTTTAAAAATGAATATTACAAAACTCACAATAACTAAATCTTGGAAGTGGCCTGAATGTCCACTGAAGATGAATGGATAAATAAAAGGTGGTATTTATGCACAATAGAGTAATACTCTGCCATAAAGAAAAAATTTAGTCACTTATAGGAAAATGGATGCACTTTGAGACCATGATCTAAGTGAAATAAATCAGACAAGTTCAAATATTGCATGATCTTTCTTATATGAGAAATCCAAAGAAAAAATAAATTGAAGAGCAAAATAAAAGATAAATAATAGGAAACAGAGATAGAGCTTTTACAGATGGGACAGGACCAAAGAACAGAGGGAGCAGATAGGGAGGGGAAAATTAGGAGAAAAGAAAAAAACAATTAAGATGTGTTATATACATGTACCAAGTCCCCATAATGAATATAAACATTATATAATGCAAACATATACTAATAAACATACAAATAAAAAATAATGTGTATGTGTGATGGTGACATAGCTGGCAAAAGAACACTAAATTGCCCTCTTCTAAAGTAAAAAGTAATGACTGAAATGCTGATGAAGACGTAGATCAACTAGATCAGTCATAAATATTTGATGATAATGTACAATTTTACAACTACTCTGAAAGACAGCTTTGTGTTTTCTTATTAAACTAAACATTTGATTACCATAGAACTCATCAGGTATGGTCAAGGTCATTTATATTAGAGAAATCCAAACTAATTTGCATGCAAAACTTGAATAGCACTTTTATTTGTAACA